AAGAAGTACTCTCATCACTTTAAACAGGGTGAAAAGCAAAGAGGGATAAAAATCAAAACGCAATGACAAGAAGGATAAGAACAGGTGATTTAGAATCATATTACCATAACACAGTTCTACTTTTTCCCCTATAGAAATTAAAAGATCTAGAAAGATTAAGAATAGACAAAGGTAAAATTACTCATGGATGCTGTCCTTGCTATATAAAGATACTGCTATTGACCCATCCCCACTTTAAATTAAGTTCTAAGAGTACTAATAAATTTGCACTAACATGGATTCACTCTCTTTCCACTTGCTCTGGTGAAAAACTGATGCTTTTAGACAGCTTGTTAAAGCTGGAGAACAATCCACGGACACACAAACAAGGAAAACTAACAGTATCTGGCAAATTTGACATCTAAATTGCTTCTTGCAGTAATCCAATGTTTTCTGACTCCTTGACTTCAAAATGCAAATTCTTAGTTTCCCTCAAGGCTCAGCTGGAGTGCAAATTTCATTCATTCATTCACTAATTCAACAAACTATTTAATAAAAAGTCAAGAACATCAAGGCAATTTAAAAAAAAGGGAAGGAAGATTCCTTTAGAATACTATTGTGCTATAAGAAATGATGAGTGGGAAGGTTTCAGAAAAACTTAGGGAGATTTATATGAACTGGTGCAAACTAAAGTGAGTAGTAAACCAGGAGAATATCATACAACACAGTAACAGCAATACTGTATGATGATCAACTGTCAATGACTTAGCTACTCTGATCAAGACAATGATCCAAGACAGTTTCAAAGGACTCATGATAAAAAATGCTATTTACCTTCCAGGAAGAGAACTGATGAACTCAGAGGGCAGAATGAAGCATACTTTTTTTTCCACTTTCTTTATGTTTCTTAGGCCTTTTACTGTGGTAGTGGTGGTGTTTTTGCAACATTGCTAATCTAGAAATGTTTTGCATGACTTCACATACATAACTGAAATCATATTGCTTGCCTTCTCAATGGGTGGGGGAGGGTCAGGAGTAAGAGTGGGAATTTGGAACTCAAAATTTTAAAACAACATTGTTAAAAATAAGTAAATAATTTTTAAAAAAATAAGAAAATATGTATGCCTACTGAAACAGCTATAACTGTAACACTTTTTCCTTTAGTTCAAGAACTATTAGGGGGCAGCTAGGTGGTGCAGTGGATAGAACATTGGCCCTGCAGACAGGAGGACCTGAGTGGAAATCTGGCCTCAGACAGTTACTGGCTGTGTGACCTTGAGCAAATCATTTAACCTTGATTGCCCCCTCTACCCAAACCCCCCCCAAAAAGAGAGAAAGACAAAGAAAGAGAACCAGTGATAGGTCTGAGACAGTATCAGCAATACTATACCATCTAGGGTCCTATTTTTGTCTCTATGTGTAATAGAAATAGCCACAAAATGGATTGGCCTCAGAGTCCAACTGTAGTGGTAGCAGCAGGGGCAGCCAATAAGAGTGTGGTCATGGAACATGTGATTGGAAAGATTATCTAGCTGGAAATCAAACCCCTTGGTCTGAGTACCTGGAGCCAACCCAAGCCATGAAATGGTACTATAGCAGAGACAGCAAGGACCTAGACCAGGACCAAGAGGAGAAGAAACTACTTCTGAACGCTGGCAGTCCTCCTAAACAAGATATTCAACAAAGGAGAATCCAACTACCACTGCATGCTTATAGCTCATAGAAATGAACAGGCTCTGATGACCTCCATCTTTGCCAACATAGCCAGCAACATCACTGATATATCAGCAGCATAGTCTCAGAGCATAGAACAGCATGAATACACGGACCAAGTAAGATAATATATGGGCTGTCCTAAGCAGTACCTTGACTCAATTGAAGAAATTGCTGCCACTGCCATCCCTTATCAGCTAGTTCACCGTGTGCTTGCTGACAACCCTGTTCCATTTTCAGATTTCCATCAGGTCTCTAGAATAGCTGCGAATGTCTGTAGTGGACTTTCTAAGATCTACATCAACTCCAAAGAGTAGGTTGTGGTATTTTTTTTGGGGGGGGGGGCTATCAGGACAGTTTCAGAAGATCCCTCCCTTGTACTCCTGCCTGCTCTTCTCTTTCTTTCTTTGTGAGGCAATCAGGGTTAAGTGACTTGCCCTGGGTCACACAGCTAGTGTCAATTGTCTGAGGCCGCATTTGAACTCAGGTCCTTCTGACTCCAAGGCCAGAGCTCTATCCACTGCGCCACCTAGCTGCCCTACCCTATTACTTCTTTCTACTTATATAATAACATAACTTACTAATAATAACACAGGAAGAAGATCTATTAGGAAGAAGGCCATAAGGTGGAGTTCCCAGGAAGTCTCATTGCCATGTGGTGATGGCTAAACACATGGGAAGAGATAGACTCCATGTGGAATGATACTGGAGGGAGGAAGGTTGGGGCAGGGAGACAGAAACATTGGTATGAATATTACTTAGTGATTGATAGGTGGAAGAAATTGGACCTTGACCTTCTTGGCATCACTCTTTCATGCTGGGGCATGAGCTGATGATAAGGATGAATTGGTTATCTCTATTTCTCACACACAGTTTTTACATGTTTGATCCTTTAATTTTATTTGTTTTGGCCTCCTACCCTCCATCTATCAAAAAAAAAAAAACATAGTACAGACACTTAAAAAAATCACCAAGACCAAAATCCACCAAATAAAGCAGACTTTCGTTTTTTTTTCTTTTCTTTTTTTTTTTAAGACAATTGGGGTTAAGTGACTTGCCCAGGGTCACACAGCTAGTAAGTGTCAAGTGTTTGGTCTGAGGCCGGGTTTGAACTCAGGTCCTACCTGACTCCAGGGCCGGTGCTCTATCATTCCGCCACCTAGCTGCCCCCTAGACTTTCCTTTTTACCATGCCTTTATTATTTAAAATTTAAGAGAAAACACTAATACATGCTTATTTAGACTAGAAATACTTTGTAATGTTTATTGGAAATTATAAGTTTCCTAACGGAAATCACTTGTGAAAACAATTTTTTGGCTTCTAGTCCCTCAAGACATATAGGATGACTGTCATTAAGAAGCTAAATCTTTCTCTGTGTTCATACATTTCAGCAATGTGCACAAATGTAACCATAGTATACAGTCTTAGGAACATGCCTGGGTAAGGATAGGATAATGGCCAACAAACAGGTACAACCAGATATTCTCTATGTTATGAATCTGCTGCTACAACAGATCTGAGCTGGTTCTAAAACTGCATTAGCTGACAGCCAGTCTACTTCAGCTAAGTAATCTGCTATTTAAATCAAGAAAAACACATAATTCAAGAAGGACATAGACTTAAGTTCCTCTTTGTAGAATCAGTGTATACTCACTTTCATAGAGGGAAAACTAAAGTAAAATAATCACGTTTTTATTGATCAGAAGTTTTATATTTAAAAATCAATGTGAGTTAAGACTGTAGTCTTAAAAAACATATAGAATAGAAACTATATGGCATTTTACAGAACTGGAAAGCTCTAAAAACTGGCATATTTGACCAGTTCCAAAACAAATCTTTAGTTTAATAATCATAATAAAGAAGGAAACAGCTGAACACATCTTCCCCAACAAAATGTAAACATTTTGAAGGCAAGCATAAGCATAGCTTTATTTTTGTTTTGCAAAACTCAGTGCCTAGAACAGAGCCTGGCATGTTGTAAAAATCTGATAAATGCTTGCTGATTTATATGATTTCCTAGGATAAAATTCTCTTTGCTTTAGAAGGCCAAAGCCTATTCTTATCACATTTACTTATGTGGTAACTTTCTTCCTATTATATTTTGAAAAGCACTGCTAAGAGGTGATAAACATTTTGCTTTTATCTGCAAAATTTTGCTATAAATATCAAATACCTTACTTTCAAAGTTGCATGTTTATTTTGAAGTAATGTAGTTTTTGTGTTTGAGAATGTTTTCAGGCTTTGAAAATTCACAGTACAATGATAAGTGGCATTTGTTTGCTCCAGCAGTCTTTCTTGCTTTTCTTCCCACTCTGCCTTTCCTACTTTTAATTATATATTGTACTTCAAAGGGATTTAGTAAGTCTTGGCTTCAGAATATAGACTATTAGCTGACCATATCAATACCACAATGACTATTTGGAACTATGGGAATTAACTCTCAACTATATATTTGACTATCAAATATTTCCAATTTCTAAACGTACCAAGTAACAAAATCTTTGCTATAGTTAACTTTCATATCATTTGGGTATTTGAACAGTAGATAAAAAATAATAAATCTGGCTACTCTCTGCTTTCAAATTCTAGCTATGTCACTTTCTACCTATGTGACCCTGTCCAAATTACTTACCTTCTCTGGGACTCAATTATCTCATCTATAAAAAGAACAGAGGTTGTACTGGATAACCTCTGAAGTCCCTTGCAGCTCAAATTTTTTTTTACTTCATGATCCTATATTTCTAATAATGATTTGATAAGTAATTTATTGTTAAATACAGATAATAAACTCTTCTTCCATTTCTGACATTCTAAAACTTGAGTGTGCCATAAACTTGTGCTTTTGTCTACCCTTTCTCTAACTCTTCTTGGTTCTTTCCCCAGATTCATTTTTGTACAGTTGCTGATAGCAACTACTTTCAAGTGGGTAGAGATCCAGAGGGCTGCCCCTTGGCCTAGTGGCTTGTACATATATACCCTTCCTCAACCGTCTAACTTACCTTTCACGGTATTTTTAATATAGTAATTTTTGATGACTATTAGTGCAAATATTAGAGGTTCCCCGTTTCAAAGCCATCTTGTTTTAAGGATGTAGCTGATATTTAGATTTAGCCTATATTCAGTCCAATACAGTGTATTTTAAAGAAATTACATTTATACAACTTTTTGCATATAATTTGTGTATTCCAGAGTATCCCCAATCAGAAATAGAGACTGAGAACTTAAGACAGTATAATGCATTTAAACAATATCTTAAAACTACCTCCTATATTCTATTTACCAACATTTTAAAGTAAATAAACATTTACCTTTTGTAGACTGGTAGGATTTAGCTGAGTTTTATCTATTATTTTTACTGCAACCTGAAAAAGAAAATCATGCAATTCTTTACGAGACTTTTAACTTTTCCATTTTTTCCCCAATGACACAAATATTTATTTTTTAAATGCCTAACCCAAGACTTCAAAAATAAGACTGTATCGGCGGCTTCTTTCTTTGTCTAGGTCAGTAGTTCTCATACTGTGGCCCCCTGGACATTTATGTTATTACAAAAGAATCTAGGAATTCATATGTGCAGCAAACATTGTTTTGAGCTTTATCATAAAAAATACGCAAAATTAAAATATTTATTAAACACTTACTATGTGCCAGGCACTGTTATGTGAAAAGTACATAAAGGTAAAAACAAACAGTCCCTATCTTCAAGGAGCTCACATGCCACCTACTAAATTCACTAAATAAACAACATGTTTTCCACAGAATAAACAATGCCTCACAATGTATTTATTAACATTTTTAAATGTATATATAGATGCTTTGTGATTCATAAAATATTAATTCACTTAAGAGCATTACTAATTAATGTTTTGTCATCATATTGTTTTTTAATTAACCAAGAGATACCAACAGTACTGATGAGGCTGACTTCTCCCCAGCAACAACGAGAGCCTTGCCTAAAACTAAATCTGCCCGAGACAGGGGGCTCTATGTGTTGACAAGAAAACCTTGTTATTTTCTGTGTGTACGTGACTGATATCCTTGAATATTGCAAGCTAAGTTACCATATCCCTGAACTGTTTTGTAAAATACCCAACACACCTGCTTCCCCTTTCCTGCCTCCCCTTACACACCATACCTGCTTCCCCCTTCCTGATATCTTTCCTTGTGGTTAACTATTCATGTAGGAGCATTGCACCCCCCCCCCAAGCTGAGTGCCCAAAACTTGCGTAGAAAAGCAAGCCTCCATCTTTTCTCAAACTGCTAGTACTCTTAGGAACTAGCTCGCTGATTTTGCATCAATAAAGCCCTCTTGACTGGGAGAACATCTGCCCCCTGAATTCTTTCTGGACAACCCAACTTTGAACCTCATCTACCTCATCAGTACCAATTATTACTGAGAGAAGGAATACAAAATATTTTACTTTAGGAAGGGATTCTCATACATGAAAAGATTGTAAACCACTGAATTAGGTGCAAAATTATCCATTAAGCTCTAATAACTTGGTTTCAAAATGTATAAAATTAATATTTGGCCATTCCAAACCCATGTGTAATTTGGAATCAATGGAATCTGGCATTTGGTTTTTAATTTCTGTCTTTTGGATGAAAACCATCCTGAATCTTAATGTTTGACCATATTCTTGGTAACTAACAATTACTTTTATGATTATAAATTTTCAACAGGATCCTGAATATTAATCCAATAAGGTTATCATTTGGGATGTCAAGCTTATTTATATGACATGATTACATAACAGTATTGATAAAATTATTAAGATGAAAAACATGATGATAATACAGGCAATGAGAAAAACAAAAATTTAAACCTTTTTACAAGTGAGGTTTTTACAATTTACAAATCTTCAAAATATTATATATTATTTAACCTTACAAATGGAATAAAGTTTACATCCCAGATTTTTATAATTTCAAAAGAAATTTTAAATCTAATTATACTAAATAGGAAAAATATACTCATTTTAAAAAGACTGACTAGCAGTCTCTAACAGATCAAGGAAGTAAGCTTATTCAGCACTTAAAACTTCAATCTGCTGCTTAAGCAACAGCTAATGGATGGAAATTACCCAGGGTGTACTCCAGTCCAAAAAGGCAGAAAGAAGCACTCTTAACTGCAGCCTTAACCAACAAGAATGGACAGGAGCTGGTATAAAGTCTAACAATGGTTTAAGCAACAAGAGCAAGGGATGGCAGAATCCCTAGTATGTAAGTAGATATGAAATAAGAGAACTTCCCCCTCCTCCCCACTTACAATCAAAAGGTCAACTTTCTCCAACAATAAGAAAACTTCTTAAAGAGAGTTTTTAAAGGTCTATGGAAATATATTAAAGTCTTAAAACTGAAACTTACCTCTCTACCAGTAAGAACATGTCTTGCCAATTTCACTTTGGCAAAATTTCCCTTCCCTATTGTTTTTAGCAAACGATAATTTCCAATGTGAGGCTGTTCATCTGTAGCAGATGTAATGGAATTTCTACACCGTGGTATGTTTTGTCGACTACTTGATTTGGTAGGCTGGATATGTGGTTCAGTGTATCCATCAACAGATGTATTCTATGAAAAAAAGGTACAAGATTTTATGTTAATCATTTAATGACACTAAAAAAATAGATATAGCACTACTCCTAAAGACCCAGTTTAACCCATACTTAGACTTTATTTCTTATCTTGGAGAATGTGGCATATAAAGAATACCTGTGTTTAAGAGGTCATGGACATAGTATCAAGGTCATTTTTGTTTCTGGTCCTCATTACTTACATTCAGGGTATGTCTCATATTCTGACCCCAAACATTCTCTCTCTCTCTCTGCATTCCTGGATCCTATTTCCAGGTTCTCCTGCTTAAATTCTGTACCCTGGTCTCTGTAGCTTTGTTCCTCAGGTTATCAGCTTGGTATTCTGACGTCTTCTGTTTGATCACACTAGCCTATAAGGCCTTTATCTATGTATCTAGTTCCTTCCTCCTTGCACTTTTAGATCTGTCCTGTTAATTAGGCAGCTGAGCTACTTCTCTCCCCCTGTGTTCATTCCTCTAGACGATAAATTCTGCTTCTCCACTTGAACTAAGATCATAGATCCTAGAAGGCATCAGAGACCATCTTACCAAAGAGCCTCATTTTACAGGTGAGGAAACTAAGGCCCAGGAAAGTAAAGTGACTTCTCCATTATTACATAGTCATAAGCATCAGCGTCAGAATTCGAACCCACGTCCTCTGGCTCTAGAATTGGTCCATCTTTCCACTGTATCCAGGCTAATCTGCCAGTAGTACCGGTGTTCCCATTCCTACGCTAGCAGATCTCTTTTCTGGTCCACCCTGAATATTTGTAATAGCCTTCCACTGCAACAGCTTCATTAGTCTGGGCCAGGCCTATTCTGTTGCCAATCAAGTCCTCGGAGCTTTTACTGTATCACTAGTATATATGTGTCACTAATGATACAATGCTACACTGTACCATATATCTGGGCAACGAGGAGAAAACTTGTAAAGCACATCATTTAGCAAATTCTAGAATAGAGGTTCTTAACCTGGGGCGCACAGAACACCAAGGCACCTGTGGCCAGACTTCAGGGGGTCCGTGAACCTGGATGGGAAAAACACATCTTAATTTTCACTAGCCTCTAACTGAAATTTATCCTGTCCTTCAATCATTTAAAAAAATATTCCATAAAGGGCTTCTAATCTTCATCGGAATACCCCTGGCATCTAATCATTTAAAAAAATATTCCGTAAAGGGCTTCTAATCTTCATCAGAATACCACTGGCATCTACGACACAAAAAGAGAGTAAGAACTCCTATTCTACACAGAACATTCAAATCTTACATGAGAGATAGCTATACCTTCAGATCCTCTAAAACTGAAGTGAATAAAAAACCAGTAGTGTAGGAAGTAGAATCAAGAGTTGGAAGAGACCCTAGACTATTACATGACTATAATACTGAGCCCTCAACTTCTTGGAAGCATTCTTGCTCACCTAAACACATTATGCCCTACTATAGTGGTTAGCACGGCTTGTCACAAAAGAAAAACTTAAAAATCTTTTTTCATTCATTCACTTACAAATGAGGAAATGGAGGCCCACAGAGGTGAAGAGGTGGGGGGTGGGGTGGCTTGCTCAAGGTTGCACAGGCAGGAAGAAGAACTGAGAATTAAACCTCTAATTGCAAATCCATCACTCTTTCCACTATACCACACTGCCTCCAGGACATTTAATTGGTTATCTAACAATCGATCAATCAACAAACATCTATTAAGCACCTACGATGTGCCAGGTGCTGAGGACACAAATATAAAGAATGAAACAATTCCTATTCAGAAGGAGCAAGAAGACAGGCACATATAAGTATATACAGAATAAATATAAAGAGAAGAAACATAAACAGATAAAAAGAAGTTTATGGAGTGCACTAGCACTAGCACTTGTGGGGATTAGCAAACATTCTCACAGAAGGGGATGTTTGAGTTATGTCTAGAAAAAAGAGAGGTATTCTAAGAAGCAGAGAAACAGAACACTACATTCTTTGTTCCCTTACTTTACAATCAAATAAGTAGTTTCTAGGATTAATTTAATTTTGTACCAAATCAGATATTTTTACCACCAAAGAGCAGAATATGGAATCTAAAGGTAAACTGTTCTGAATGATGACCCAAAAGGGCTCTTGGATTTAGCACAAGTTATATAAAGACCCATGGGAAAAAACACGCCACTATTTCCAGTCCATCCCACTACCACTCCTTTCCTTAAAAAGGATAATAAAAAATCTATCTTCCTCCACTAGAGATTTACTTGGTTTAAAAAAAGAAAATCTGGGAGAAGAATTCTCAAAACTGTAAGGCCATTTAGTTGTTGCAAGAGGTTAATGACCAAAAAGTTAGCTACAAGATAATTAGCCTTTTTGGCCATACAGAATCATGAAACAAGCTACTAAGGAAGGGATGGAAGGACTGTGATAAACAGAGGGGGTGTCCACATTATAGCTGAAACCACAGATTCTGGAAATATGGAAATGTATATGCGCACATATACTCATATATAAACACTTAGTATATATGTTTGGCGAAAACATTTGGGGGGGGGGGTGGCTTGAATTTCTTGAAATCTAGAACTGCTACAGCCAGGAACATGCTGCATATTCAGTAGTAATGTGAAGCTGCAAGAAGAAAATTTGGGCTTGACATAAGGAAAAACCTTTCTAACAATAAAAACTACCCAGTGGTAGACTGGACTGTCTTGGGTGGTAGCTTGGGTGGCTGTCCTTTAATGGAGGGTTACAAAAACAATGCCTGGATGAGTGACCACCTGTGGTACATTTGGAGAAGGGGTTTTTATACTGTTGTAGAGAAATTCTTTTCAGGCACGGTTTGAACTACAGAACTTCTAAGCATCCTTCTAACCCAGATCCTGTTACTCCATGAAAATGAAGGACAAGAATAAATTTATTCACAAGAGCTGAATTATTCAACCCATAGTCTTTGAATTCTAAGGGAACTTTAGAGATCATATTTGGCTATATTGCTTTGTACATCTAGTCTGAAAAATCTGATATAAAAGGCTGTTCAGATATAAAATTAAGTGCCTTAGGTGTTAGTAGAATAAAAGGGAGCTCACTGTGCTAGAATCATAGAAATGTCTATCTCGGAGTAGAAGAGACCTCAGAAATCATCAATCCTTTATTTTACAGATGAGGGAAATGGAGCCGACAGAGAGGTTAAGTGACTTGCTCAAGGTAGTGTATATAGATCATAAGAATTAGAGGTGGGATTTGAACCCAGTTTGTATGACTCCTTATAGGGACTGTGTCTAGAAGTCAATAAAAGCGATAAGAATGTGTAATTTTTCAAGAGCTTTAAGATTGTATTTATTCTTCAATACAAAGATCTGCAGTTTTGTCAGTGCTGGCACTCATTCCACTAATATGGATTATACCAGTCTTTGGTGATGGTCTCTGAGAGTTGATGTGGTTAAAGAATTTACATTTTGAAATAATTATGATGGAACTTTAAAAATGTGAATTAAGGATACTAATTAAGAATCTGATTAAAGATTAGTTTGAGGCCTGGCTTTGCCATTCACTAGTTGTGTAACTGAAGTCAAGTCACTTAACCATAACTCAAAATGATGAAATATCACGAGGATTAAATGAGATAATACATATCTGGACAATTCTTTTTACCTAGACCATATCATAGAACATCACTTCATAGTGAGGAAGAAGGGACTTCTAAGGCCATCATATCATCTACCTCAATCTCAAACTGGAAATTAGAACATTTGCTCTTCTCCAGCCAAATACATCACTGAGAGCGACTTAAAAAGTCACATACACCAGTTCTTCTTGTACTCGATATAGTTTATTTGGGCCAAGTAATTTGAATTTATCACGGGTGACTAAATTCTTTCTTAATATTGCCATACTGGTGGTAGGTTATCAACTCCCTATTAGCCACTTTTACACTGTTATTTCCAGTACAAGGTCACTATCTTTGTCTGGGAAAACAGAAGTATTCCTAATTTTCCTCTTTCATAAAACCAGACAACTTTTCTTCATTCCAGCCTATTCCTTTCCTCTACATCAGTCACCTGTTTGTTATGAGATACAGTAAGACACAATGAACATTATTCTTAACAGAAAAGGGATCAAGGGATCTGATTAGAGCATGAGAGCTCCATAAATTTCATCAAGTTTTTTTTAACAAAGACATTCTCTTGATCATAACTCAGTAGTATCATAAGAAATGGTAAATGAAAAAAGAGCGATAGATCTGGAGTAAGATGACCTGGATTCAAATATTGCCTCTGATATTTAACTACCTAACCATGGGCAACTCACTTAACTTCTCTGGGCCTTCAGTTTCCTCATCTGTAAAATGAAAGGGTTGGGCTAGGAAGCCTCTAAGGTCTCCTTCAGCTCTAGATCTATAATTCTATGATCTCTAATTTCACAGCTCTGACTTTTCTGTTTAACCTTATCACTCAACTGAAACTGCTCTCCCCAAATAACAATGACCTCTTAATTGTCAAATATCATCATCTTTTCTGAGTACTAATTGTTCTCAATCTATCTGCTGCACTGACATTACTGACTCCAGTCTCTCCCTAGATCTTCTCTGAGTTTTCACGACCCTATTACTCCTGGTTTGCTTCCCATCTTTCTGACTGTTCCATCTCAGTATCCTTTGCTGGCTCAACAGGTCCCCTAACTGTGGGTATTCTCCAACGTTTTGTCCTGGGCCCCCTGCTCTTCTATATTCTCTTGGTAATCCCATCTTCAATGCAGATAACTCACAGATCTACATACCCAGGGGCAGTCTCACCCCAAACTTCAGTCCCAGATCACCAACTGCTTATTGGACATTTCAAACTGGGTATCCTGGAGACATATTAAACTCATCATGTCTGAAACTTAAGTCTTTACCCTTCACCTTAAACACTCCCCTCTTCCAAACTTCTCTATTTCTGTCAAAGAGACCACCATCCTTCCAGTGTCTCAGGTTCTGAGATGGCATTGTCCTGGACTCCTCACTCTCCCTCACTATATAAGCTAGTCAATTG